TAATTTTTTACCATGGCCTTCAAACCTTACATGATCAGCCCTCCCCTCAACAACCTCTTTGACCATATCAGAAATCCTACCATTATGCCATTCATTCCCTCCAGCCAAACTGGTCTCCTTCCCCTCTGGGAGTACAGCAAGCATATTTCCTGCCATGAGTCTTTAACCCTGATGGTCCCCTTGGCTGGACTTCTCTTTTTTTTATTCCCCAAAACTACATGGCTTTTCCCTATACTTCTTCCAGGTCTTCGTTCATACATCACTTTTTAAGAAATTCATCTGACAATTGGACAGTGCATCCATATGAAGATATTCTCTCAATTAAATGAGTATCTTCAGCATTTTATCTCCCTTATTACCCTCATCCCATTAGTATCTAAGTTCTTTCAAACGTGCATCCATTACATCTTCTTCACATCTCTCCATTTCCATTACCAATGCGAGTTCAGTCCCCATCATATATCTTCTGCAACAGGCTCACCAGTGCTCCTTCTGTATCCAATCTCTTGTCTAATGCACTTCATAAGTGAAAAGATTATGGACTTTAAAAATTAGACAGATATAGACTCTCCTTGAGCAGTCAATTACCAGCTATGTGACCCTGAACAAATCATGTGAAATTTTCAGGGTTTCAGTTTGCTCATTTGTAAATGGAATTAATAAAACCTACTTTAAAAATTTTTACAGACTTTATTTTTTAAAACAGTGTTAAGTACACAGCAAAACTGAGCAGAAGGTACAGAGAGTTTCCACATACTCCATATGAACTCCACAGTTTATATATATGAACTTCTGTTCATATATAATACCTACTTATCAGGACTACGGTGAGTAAAAAAATAAGAATACAAAGCATACAATGATGGTCGCAAAGTACATAGCAGACACTCAAATATTACGAGGATTTTTTCCCTTTCCAAACTTTGATCATGTATTCCCTGGTTCAAAATTTTAACTGGCTTACCACTGTGTGTGTTAGTCACTCAGTCGTGTCCAACTCTATGAGACCCCATGGACTGTAGCCCACCAGGCTTCTCTGGTCCATGGGATTCTCCAGGCAAGAATACTAGAGTAGATTGCCACGCCCTTCTCCAGGGGATCTTCCTGATCCAGGGATCAAAACCAGGTCTCCTGCACTGCAGGTGGACTCTTTACCATCTGAGCCACAAGGCTTACCACTAAATACAGATAAATCAAAATTTTCAGTGTGGTGTCCAAAGATTTCCACAACTTGGCTCCAACCTAGTTTTCCAACCTTATCTTTTATTTAACACACCCATCTTCTAGCCCCCTTGCAAATTCTACTCCACCCACCACTCTACTTGTATTTTTTTATCACATTCAGCATTTTCCTACATCTATTCTTTGCCCCACCTCTGCTAAAAATACTTTTCTCTTCCAGTATGTCTGCCAAAATCTTGCGATCTTTCTAAGCCTGGCTCAAATTCCATTTTTTTATAAGAAGATATCCACAGCTTTACCAGTTGGCATTTATTTCTCTTTCTCCTATAAGTTCATGTTACTTTGTTTATGCCTCTTTTCCCACTCTCTCCTGATGAGCAGGGACCACATCTTATTCAGTAATTAGCACAGTGCTGTGCAATACTCGGCATTCAGAAAAATCTGTTGGATTAAATCAAACATATTGACTACAAAATCACAAGTTACTCATCATTAGAGGAAAAAACTGGAGATCCATCCCTAGAATATTTGTCTTCGAATGAGTACTTGGTCAAATGTAAGTACTCATTCTACACTAGGATTCCACGAAGACTTTTACTTTGAGAACTTTAAAAAAAAAATGCCTTGGGGTGAAAAGGAAGAAGGGAATAAGTATGGGGAAAGAGAACACTAAATATCTAAGAGCTATGGAATCTTATAAATTGTATAACTCCTCAGAAGAATGAGGCTAAATGTTTTTATTTAACTTCACCCAGAAAGTCAGAGTGAAAATAAGAAACTAAAATCAACTTGTCCCTGAATCTCTTTCTGAAGTATGCTTTCCCCATCTCTAAGTTCCTAGAAAAATTACGTTCACATTACTCATCTGATAATCATATTCTGCATTTTGTTACTACTGCAGTATTTCCTTGAGCCATTTTTAAATCTTTCATCACTGAACTTTAATTCTCATATTCTCAATTAGATGATCAATTCCAAAGAAGGAGAGTTCATACCTTACACTTTTACAGTCTTTTCTGCTACAACACATTTCCACAACACCACAGAGTTCATGTCAATAGAGTGTGGAAATCGTATGTGATTTTTTTCTTAGGCAAGAAGAGCTGGAACAGTAGAACAGAATCACAGCCTTCAGGAGGAAAGGTAAAACAGCCTCAGCAAGCCTGCTACACTGACAAGGCCCTGCGCTCTCCTTAAGGAGAGTGAAAGTGAATGCCTGCCACGGCCGAGAGGTGGCATCTCAGCAGGGCTTGCTCCCCTCTGTGCCCCTCAGCAGCAACCCTACTGCTCAGGCCTCCACTTTCAAAGGCGTTATCTCACATCTCCGCAGGTCAGCATGTTTTACTCTTTTTCAGTGCATTTTTAACATCTATGGCAACTTCCACCCATACTGAGCTATCTGCCTGGGCTGTCCAATCTACTGTTTTTTGGTTCCATGGTTCAAAGTGGCATGTGTGTGTATGTGTGTGTTTAGTCGCTCAGTCATGTCCCACCCTTGCTGACACTAAAGGACTGCAGCTTGCCAGACCCCTCTGTCCTTGGGATTTTCCAGGCAAGAATACTGGGGTGGGTTGCCATTTCCTCCTCCAGGGGATCTTCCAGACCCAGGGGTCAATCTGGCACCTCTTGCATCTCCTGCATTGCAGGCAGATTCTTTACTGCTAAGCCATCTGGAAAGCCCATAGATTTTGAGTAATCTACATCTAGCCCTATTTTTTCCCCCATAATCTCTATAATTTTATACACACACATACATATATACACACACACACATGCATAGATAGTATGTTATAGTAAAATGCATGATTATCCAAAGTCACTAACACACTACCTTGAATATAACATTTATAGGTTATTGCATTTAATTCTGAAAACATCTGTATTTTGCCATTGTTCACATGATCTTAAATCTAAAATCCACTTTCTGGGGTTCCTAAAACCCTTCAGCCCCACAAGGAGTCCTTCATTGCCTGCTAAGGTGTCTATCATCACACCAAAATCACTACTTAAACTACACCACTTCTGCTAATATAACATTCAACTTACTGTTGTAAAAAGATCTAACCTGCAATACCATCAGTATGACTCTCAAACCCCAATAAATGATGTGACCTCTCTGCTTGGTGATGCTAAACTTCTAGACACAATGAATGGAAAAGCGGAGACAAACAGGCTGTTTTCTATTCACTTTCACAGATGCTTGGGCTACTGCCCAATCTCCATAATGAGGGTGGCCTCTTGCTTTGTTTTTATGAAACCAAGAGCATGTAGAACACATAGCATTTCAATATGCAGCCTTCGGGATATTATATTGTCCCCAATTGCTTGATATTTTGTCTTTCTCGTCAGAATAGTCAGAAACACACTGAAGCTGTAACAGTAACTATGACTTCTACTGAATCAGCTTAAACAATCTACTTACTGTCAACAAGATGAATAACCAACTGATCATTTTAAGTAGAAGTCTCCACACTTGGATCTTTGGGACATGAGTTTCAATTAAAAAACTTGGAGATGAGTAGTATATTGTATTATATCCCCAACCAGGCCTGATGACACTCCTTTAACCTGGTTTAGGGATGTGCACATATAGTGCATACCTTTACATATACAGCAACATGATTTGTTTCCAACACACATGAATGTCTTAAACACATAATTCAAGGAGAGAGAGGAAATCAATCTTCCCTCCTTCCTTCCTCATTCCTTTCCTCTTTCTTTTTGAGGGAGGTGGGTGTGGTGCCAGAAAACATTTTCCTATGTAAAACAGCAACAATCCCAATGTTCACTGTTATTGTTTATTTATATAAACCCTGTGTAAACAATCCCCATGTCCTTGTAGGGCTATTTCATCCCTGACATATGATGCTCAACTAAATTATTTACATTACAAAATATATTCAAACAAAAGCAACATTTTTAAACACCATTCAACCAAGGCCTAACCACCATTTGGATATGAACTGTGGCTTATCTTTCATCAAAGCAGGAAAAATCAGAAAAGACACTGATAAATGTCATGTTTCTTAGAATCTGAATAATATTCACAAATTATGGCTAATACTGACAAATCAGAAATCACTTTCAAGTTATGACCTTAGGCCCTAAATTCTAAAATTCTAAATTATCAGCTTGAAGGTACTTTAAAGATCAGATATTCCAACCACTTCATTTTCAGATGAGAAAATTAAACCTTATAGCGAGGAAGTGAGCAGTATAAAGCCACAAAGCCAGAATTGTGCACTGATACTTGAGCACCATTAATGCCTCTCTTCACAAGTTAAAACAATTATTTTAGAACATATTTTGAAATAAACTGAAAATGTTATTGACAGAAACTTTTTGCAGGCTTCTAAAATATATATGCTAATTTAGCAGCTGTACTTAGTCAACTCTCTATTTTCTTCTTATAAATTGTTTCATATTTGTTAACACCAAGATGACATTCCCCTGCAACCCCAAACAATTTTGGCAGCCTTTTCCATCTATTGGGATGTGCTCAAAAAATATATGTTACATTAAATATTTATTTAAGTGGAATCACTAGTAAGGCAAATTCATTGGGAAAATGACAAATTAATAGTAACAGTAAGCAGTTAAGTACCAGGCACTATAATAAGTGTTTTATATTTATTACCTAATTTAGGCCTTATCAACCCTAGGAGGTGGGCATTATTAATATTACTATTTTACAGATGAAGAAACTAGAGCACAGAGATAAAATACCCAGGAGTGACTATCATTTAGTAAACTCCAGAACAGGCGTTCTAGCTTCTGAGCCCATGCTCTTAACCACTATACTACAGGGCCTCTCTACCTTTTTTTTTTTTTTTTTGACAGGAAATAGCATTTATTGGTGAGCGTGATTAAGGAGGGAACAGAGCTGATGCTCATGAGTGCAGGGCCCGCCATTTGTCCAAGGGACCACGATTAGGGATGTACTTGACCCCACAGCCGTCCAGGATGAGTCGCTTTTCTGCCACCATGTTCTCAAATTCATCCGCATTGAATTTGGTAAATCCCCACTTCTTGGAGATGTGGATCTTCTGATGGCCAGGGAACTTGAATTTGGCCCGGCGGAGGGCTTCAATCACATGCTCCTTGTTCTGCAGCTTGGTGCAGATGGACATTATGACCTGGCCAATGTGGACCCTGGCCACTGTGCCCTGGGGCTTTCCAAAGGCACCGCGCATACCTGTCTGGAGTCTGGATTGAGAAACAGCAGGCCAGTCATGAATGCCCACTAGGAAGAGTTGTCTCCAAGGTCCCTTAGGGCTACCTGTACAGGCAACAGGTTGCATACACTACCAAGGAGGCTGCTGTTTGCAGCCACTGCACACTGGGCCCCCATGGGGAAAAGAGCACAGTCGGCTTAATTGGCTGCAAATACAGGGCCTCTCTAAAAGGAAATTACATTTCAAAAGAAAATAATTTCTTGATTACCTGAAAGCTGAAAGATTAACTAGACTGCATTATCTCATAGAATGATAAAATTTTCAAGCTAAAAAAACCCAGAAGTCACTAGTCCAAGTCTTTCACTTTAAACACAAAGAAACTGACATTCAAAGAGGTTAAGTGATCTGTCCAAGGTCACACAGTTTTTGGTGGTAGAAACTATTTGTCATTACAGTCTAGTATTATTCCTCATTGCTCTCTTCTGCTAACAGACAAGCTAGAGAAAGTACTATTTATAGTAGCAATAACTACCTATCAGATAAAGAGTCTAAAAGGAAAACTTGACTTTGGGGAAGTAGAATTTATAAAGAGTGACATATCAAAGAAAAAGTATGTATGTAATTTGGTGGTTACATGTTCCACAAACAGGCAGAAGAGATTTTACTAGTTCAAAGAAAGCCAAAGTTACATTACCTCTTAGAAAATAATAGAGATTTTGCTAGTATTGATTGTCCCTAACTGAACATGGCCCAAGTTGAGGTCCAGCCAACAGTGAAAGCAGTCCACTGTCTGGCTGTTCTCACTCAGCCACAGAGCTCAACTTGTAGGACTGCTAACTCCGAGTTATCAGTTTGTGGATGCAAGTGTTAAACAAAGTCTACTGTGGCCGCCCAGATCATTTCCTCCTCCCCCCCTTTTTTAATGAAGCCACAAATTCAGTGGAGTCTGGAGATTTAAATTCTAATCATTTTCCCTTTGCCCTTTAACACTGGTGCTCCCAAGGGAAACTTTACTTCCAAGCATTACCATTCTAGGCCCCTGAATCAATAACCCACAGTTCTAAAAGGCAAGAATGCCAAGTAAATGCTGTTCTCTCTCTCCCTCCCCATCCCAATTAAAGAAAATGAAATCTATAAGGCTGTGGAAGAACCTCCAATAGACATACTATCATAATAAAAACCACTTAGAACATCTCGAACCAGACTAAACAAAATGCTGCATTCTACTTGCACACAGCAGCCATGCAATAATCCAGCTGACTACATTTAGGAAGAATGCATAGGTTTCCTCTCAAAAGAGGAAACCTAAATCTGGTTGCCTTTTTTCCCTGCTCCTGATCCAAACCCACCAGAAGCGCCCAGCACTCACCTTGGTCCTGTACACAGGATGAGATCTACCAGCGGACAGCTGGGTCTCTGCATTATCAATACCACTTTGCACAAAGGATGTTGCTGATTGTGCAGCAAACCAATCCAACATTAAGAATAAAAATAATTTTAAATTTCAATTTAATGAACATTTATTATCTTTAATATACCACACATTGAGTTATACACTGGGAACAAAGTAAAGGAAGAATAGCCAGTGCCTAGTTCCAATAATCTTACTAACTAATAAGGCAAAGAGATAAGTGGGCAGACAAAAATCTAACAGAAACTGCTTACAGTTATATAGCCCTTCATAACTTTAAAAAATTTTTGCATTTTTTTATAAAATGTTTGCCTCTTTTGTAGCTCACTAATCCCCACAACAGTCCTGAGGAAGGTAAGACAGTTCTAACTACTCCTCTTTACAGATGAAAGTACAAATTCAAGTAGAGAACTGCTATGAATAAAAGGCAAAAGGAATAACACAGAACAGAGCTAGTGCCAAAGAAACAGCATATTTAATGAAACCACAAATACTGTTGCATCATGATCATGTGAGAGAGCTCAGTCTGGCAGTTAAGAGCTCCAACAACAAAACAGCACTGAAAGAGTGACGACTTAAGTGTTATACCAACCAAAGATGTTTTTTACAGGACAAAGATGTTTTTCACCAGGACCATGTGATGCTCTAATTCTAACTGTACTGAACTGCTACTGACTTGTTTAATGCTGTTCTGAGATTTTAGTCTCTTCAATTACATCACCAAAGCGTCATTTTAAAAATTTGCCACAAATCTATGTATATATTTTAAATGTGCCACAAATATAAAAAGCTGACAGTGACCTAAAAACACAGCGGATAAGCGGTGGTACAAAACAGAGTTTTTGATCTCTCATTCACTGCTCTTTCCACTATAAAATATACCTCTCAGACTGTACAGGGAAGTCCAGGTCACACAAATTTCCCTTTGGAAAAGACTTCTTTAATAATCCAGACGGCTTTCAGTACAGGACTCCTGCATAAATCCCACGTTTCAGGTAGCCTCAAAATTGATCCCTAGGTCCCACGCAGCCCCAGAATTTGAAAACCAGGCTGTAACATCCTTTTCTTTTTTTTTTTTTGGATGTATAGTTGATTTATAATATTACGTTAATTTCTATTATATAGCAAAGTGACTCAGTAATACATATATATACATTCTTTTTCATATTCTTCTCCATTACAGTTTATTTATGGCTGTTGTTCCCTGTGCTATACAGTAGGACTATGTTGTTTATCCATTTTAAATGTAATAGTTTGCATCTCAGTTGAGTTCAGTTCAGTTGCTCAGTTGTGTCCGACTCTTTGAGACCCCATGAATCACAGCACATCAGGCCTCCCTGTCCATCACAAACTCCCGGAGTTTACTCAAACTCATGTCCATCGAGTCGGTGATGCCATCCAGCCATCTCATCCTCTGTCGTCCCCTTCTCCTCCTGCCCCCAATCCCTCCCAGCATCAGGGTCTTTTCCAATGAGTCAACTCTTCTCATCAGGTGACCAAAGTACTGGAGTTTCAGCTTCAGCATCAGTCCTTCCAATGAACACCCAGGACT